CATGGGAAGTGCCTTCGCTGCCTGGGAGGCCTGGGACTGTCCTCCGGGCCCTGTATTTCGTGCAGCTGGCGGCTCTGGGGCTTGCACAGGATATGCTGCTCACACAGCTGAGCTGGCCCTGATGAAGTGACTGTGTCCAGTGGGGGTGAAGAGTGTGCTCCCCCATGTCTCACATGGTCACAGGACGGGAAGCTGGGGTCTTTCCCAGGCAGGGCTGCTCCTTGAGTCTGCAGCAGCCCCACCCCCACCAGGCTGTTCTCAGCCGCATGGTCCACCTCAGAGCTCTGGCCCACAACTCCTCACACGTTCTTGGGTGTCCACTGCCACTCAGGTGACAAATACCTTCACTTATAGCTGCTTCTGTTCTGTCCTGGCTGAGGTTGGACAGGTGCCCATAGAAGGTTGTAGGTGGGTTTGTTCTGGAAGAGGAAGCTGGAGCCCTGGGTGTGAGGGGGCTTGGGGAGGAATGATAGCCGAGCTGCACGGGGAGCTTGGCCAGGCATTCACTCACTTCCTCCTCCTTTCATTCCTTCTCTTCCTCCTACACTCACTGGTTCATCCAGTAGCCTCTGGGCGTTTATACAACTGTGACACACTGAGTTCCAGATATCGGGGGCCTTGGTCCCTTCCAAGCCATCTCTGGATGTGGCTCTGTGAAACAGGACCTGGCCTGACAGGCCACTGGACGGACCTCTGTATTCCCAAAGCAAAGAGCGTCTACAACAGAGGCCAGCCCAGAACCTGAGCTCCCGCTCCCTGTCCTGCCTGTCCCCACTCACCAGGACATTCAGAGACAACTCAGAAACCCTTCCAGGCTCTGCCGTCCCAGGTGCCGGGCAACATGGCAGCCTCCCTCCCAGCCCCCCAGGACTGCAGCCCGTGGGTTGGTTCAGAGTTTTCTCCCCGTGGGCTTCACTGTTGCCACCGCTGCCCACGGAGCCTCTCCCTTCGTAGCTCTGGCCCTCCCGAGCCCCTCTCCTGTGGGGGCTCCTCCTCCTGCCTGGCGGAAAGGCTGTGAGCGAGCGGGGCCTGCAGCAGCCGAGGCCCCAGCCCTGCAGTGCTCTTGGCCCTGAACACAGAGGGGAGGGGAGTTTTGCAGCTGATGCAATGCCTGGCGTGGCTTCTCCCTTATCAGAGCTCCACACAGCCGACTCTGGGACCCCACCTTCCCCAGGAGGGGCCAGGGTGGGCTGCAGTCCATTTAGGGCCTCAGTGGAAGGCCCAGGGAAGCCAAGGGCCTGGCTGGGAGGCATCTGAGTAGAAAACTGGTGTCTAGTGAGGGCCCCTTGCCAGGGGAGGGGGGATGGTCATCGAGAGGTTGGTGGTCAGGGAAGGATTCCACACAGGGGGCATCTGGGTTGAGCACTGGGTGTAAGTGGGCTGAGGGCAGCTGTCCCACCACCACTCTGCATCCAGGCAGAACTGGGCTGGCACTTCCCCTGACCTTTACCACTGGCCCAGGCGCCCTGGAAATGTGCCTTCTGCTGGCATCCCAGCAGGGGGCGCCGCCGTTTCCTTTGGCTGTCACATCACTGCTGGTGCTGTGGGGAGGAAAGGGATTGAGTACTCCCCTGGGAGGCGGCACCCAACAAGAGAAGGAAGAAATTTCTCATTCTTCCCGTGAGCTGAACGAGGGAGCAGATCTGGCGTGTGCACCGCTGGTTTGGGACGGAGGTCGTATGAAGGTCTGTCCTGTGTCGCAGGTGTCACAGGCCCCCTTTTAGCAGAGTGCTTCCTGCGGGGCAGGTCCTGCCTGGAGCTTTGCCACGTGACCCCATCCTGGCCCTGTCCTCCTCACTCATGACTCTGTGACCTCCGGGCTCCTGTGACCCTCTCCTACCTCCTAGGTCTGGAGACACATTCCGCCCGGACCTCGAACCTCCCTCATCTCTGCCCACCCGCCCCCGCCACCTGCCCTGGGCAGGCCAGAGGAGCCAACAGCCTGCCTGGCCTTTCACGTCAGAGCGTTTTCACTCTTGCTTCTTCCTTTTAGGGCAGTGCCGGAGAGTTCTCGGGAACCTGTGCTCTTCGGAGGGTCAGGCTGGCAACTCAAATAGAAACAGGGCCTGGAAGGGACGGGAGGAGAGGTTCAGGCGCTTTGTCATCACGGCGACCAAACTTCTAAATCTTATCCAAGATGTTGGACTCAGAGGAGAGGAGACAGAGAAGGCAGCTCCCCTGTCCCCCCCCACACCTTTTCTTCCCTCTCTAGTATTCATTGAACCCTTACCACGCACCAGATACTGTCCCTCCTGGCAACTGATGCAGTAGGTACTGCCCTTTTCATGCTGCAGGTGAAGAAACTGAGGCCCAGATTGGTTAAGTCGCTTATACAGGGTTATACAGCATGGTAGACACACAGGGAGGACTGGAACCCAGGACTTATGGTTTCAGTTCCTTCTGCTTCCCTCACACCATCAGGCCCAGGCAACTCTGAGCTAAGAGCTAGAAAGTCAGGATTTCAACGCCTGTGCTTTGCAGACTCGGTGTTGGGCCTCACCCTCTCAGTAGGACAGGCAGCCTCAACCCCCATGGCTAAACAGGGTGCATGGGAATGTGGTCCTGCCAGTTATTCTGCAAAGTCATGCCGACAGCCTGCCAGGCACCAAGCCAGGCACAGCTTGGACAGGTTCCTTCACTCACCACTGATTTGCTGGGCAGCTGGTGTGTGTGGGTGCCATGCTAGATGCTAGTCCTGACTTCGGGGAGCTTGCAGTCTGGGAGAGACAGACAGGCCCTGGCCGGTTTGGCTCAGCAGTAGAGCATCAGCCCTCAGACCTATGAGTCTCGGGTTCAATTCCAGCCAAGAGCACGTACCTCAGTTGTGGTTCAACCCCGGCCCTGGTTGGGGTCAGGCAGGAGGCATCAGTCGATGTGTCCCTCTCATGTCAACGTTTCTCTCTCTCTCCTTCTCTCTCCCTCCCACTCTATCTGAAGATAAATGGCAAAAGGTCCTTGGGTGAGGATTTTTTTATAAAAAGAAAGACTGACCATCAGCTGGAAAGCCCCACTGTATGTGCCCCAGGGGGTCGCCGGGGAGCATGAAGAGGCTTGAATGACCTGGATCTGGCAGGGGTGACCAGGCCACTGCTGGAGGAACCGTGGGCCAGTTACTCAACCTTTCTCAATCTCCGTTTCGTCATCTGTAATATGACTTTGTGGAGATTTGATGTGAAAATGCAAACCAAGTGCTTAGCGTGCACCTGGCACAGAGTGGTAAGCGTTCAGTAAACTTCAGCTCCCAGAGCAGTCCACTTAGCCCTCCCAACCAGAGTGTAAGGCCCATGAGGACGTGGACTGGTCTGCCTATTCACTGCTGTACCCCCAGAGCCTAGCCCAGAGGTTGGCAATAACACGTGCTCAGGAAATATTTAACGCACGCAAGGGAAGAGGCGCAGAGGAAATCGGAAGAGGCGGGAGCTCTCCTTGCAGTCTTCTCCCCGGGGCCCCTTTACCACCACACTCCGAGGGCACCCTTCATGCCCTATTAGGGAGAGCTGCCTGCTGCCCCCCCACCACTCTGCCCTGCACAGGGGGCTCCAGGCAGCCCAGGGTGCACCACTCGCATGCAGAACCCCCGCCTCCCTGCTTTCCCCTAAGGACAGAGTTTCTGGCTGTCCCTGGGCTACTTCCATTGTGTGACTACGGTGCAGCCTGTCCTCCACAAAGGGGTGATCAGCGCTGAACAAGTCATCACAAGGAGGGTTGTTTTATGACAGAGTCTCTGGTACTACTGGGAGTCTTTGTATAGTGGTGGGCCAGGGGGCCCTAACCTGTCCCGTGGAAGGCTGCCCCAGGAAGCCGAGACCTGCGAGCCAAGGCCATGAGAAGGATTCTGTTAGAATTCGTGTACTGTCCTGGCCGGTTTGGCTCAGCGGTTAGAGCGTCGGCCTGCGGTCCTGAGAGACCCGGGTTCGGTTCCCGCTAAGGGCGTGTACCTCGGTTGCAGTTTGTCCCCGGCCCTGGTCGGTCGTGCGGGTGGCAGCCACTCGATGTGTCCCTTTCACATCGATGTTTCTCTCTCTCTCTCTGTTCCTCTCTCTCCCTCCCACTCTATCTGAACAAAAAATGGAAAAATGTCCTCGGGTGAGGATTAAAAAAAAAAAAAAAAAGAATTCGTGTACTGTGGTTAATTTTTTTAAATGAACACATTATAAAATTTCTAACAGTGCACAGTATTAAACAGCAAACGTAAGGCTCACCCCACCCTTCTCTCCTGATCTCCCCATACGAGACCTTGTGTATCCCCATAGTCACAGTCTATCTGTATTCAGCATCTATATTTTTCTCTCACTGAAAAAAAAATTGTTTTCAAATGGGATGATGCTACATCAGAGGTTCTCAGCCTGGGATGATCTTGCACCTCCCCTGCCCATGGGATATTTGACAATGTCTGGAGACATCTTTGATTGCCACAGTGGAGCAGAGAGGGTACTACTGGCATCTAATGAGTAGACGCCAAGGATGCTGTTAAACATCCTACAATACACAAGAGAGCTCCCACAATAGAGAATTATCTGGTCCAAAATATCAATAGTGCTGAGGTTAAGAAACCCCGTTCTATATAAACGCATTGTGTCTGTGCTTGCTATATACATAAAATTACAATAGAATGATGATAGATGATAGATAGATAGATAGATAGATAATTATTCACATCAGCATTTGTAGATTCTCCCCCATCATTTTTATTTAACAGTCTGCAGTCCTTTGCTATTGCAAACATTTATACTACAAGGAGCATTCTTTTCCATATACTTGCCTTTGAGTCATGTTTGAGGTCAAAAGATAAATTGATGGAGGTGGCATGGATGAATCGGAGGGTTCATTAGCATTTTAAATGACCTGATTTCAAATCGTTTTGGGGCAGAGTCCATTAGGAGAGTGCTTCTGGGGTTCTAGCTGCTAAGCAGAACCAGGGTCCTCAAAAGTCTGATGGAGAAGCTCCTCTTCATTCTCATCTACAGACAAGGGTGTCCTGACGGCCTGTCTCTCCACAGGATGAGGGTGTCCCCCACCTGAAGACAACGAGCCAGGTCCTGAGTGATGCCCCGGAGCTGAGTGCCCACGGCCCCAGCCTTCCCCATGGAGAAAGGATTTGCTTTGCCCCAGGATTGCCGGGACTTTCTGCACAGTCTGAGGATGAGGAGCAAATATGCCCTTTTCCTGGCTTTTGTGGTGGTGCTTTTCTTTATTGAAAAGGAAAATAAAATCATATCGAGGTGAGGGATGCAAGCACAGGTCTTCCTGATCAAGGGGGTGGGGGAGAGATAGCTGGCGGGCATTCTGGACCTGCAAAGGCAATCCTTCAACCAGTGATCATCAGAGCCCTCCTGTGCCCAGGCAGTGGGTCATGCACAAGTCTTCAGTGGTGAAATTTGGGCTCTGGACACGGGCACTTGGAATCCTAATTCTGGCCCTTTCTAGCTGTGACAGGTTAGACACATTACTTTACTTTTCTGTCTTAAGTTCCTCTTCTCTGAAACATGGCTAATGGTGGGGCCAGCCTCACTCTAAAGATTAAATGAGAAAGTGTAAAACCCTTTAGTTCAGTGCCTGGCACATAGTTGGTGTCTAGTACTTGCTGGCTGAAGTTTATTATTATCAATTAATTTCCTGGCCTAGGATGATGCCTCAAATTAACAGCACATCTCCTATACCAATCCAAAGTCATAGATGGGGGTGAGCCCATGGAAAGAGCCCTGCTACAGACACCCTGGGGAGCAGGGACGCCATGTGCAGCTGCCCAGGTTGTGGATCGCCCAAGTGGGGGCGGGGCACTCACGTAGGCTACAGTGGGAATGCTGCCCCTAGAGTTCTCCGTGTATGGCCGCATGCAGTGGCCCTGCTAGTGGACCTGCTAGACATAGAAAGATGTCTTTAGACCTGTCTCCCGGGCACAACCCCTGTAGGAAAGCGTCAGACGAGATGAGTAGGAACTGGACTGAGTCAGTGCCCCGCCTGTGTTCCTCAGCATGGACTGTTCAGTTCTGCCTGCAGGCCCCTGCTGCAAGCCCCTGCACTCTCCCCTAGACCTCCTCTCCCCCTGCACACCGCTAAGGCACACCTACTGGGGAGAAAATGCCTCTGAGTGCAGCCCTCAGCCAAGGCCAGCAGGGAGCTTCACCCTTGGGGAGAGTCCTGAGCTGTGTTCTACACTGTCTCCCAGGGTCCCCCAGTCAGAGGGATTTTCCCACAGGGGCAGACGGCTCGTCCTTCATGGACTTCTTTCCTCCTCGCTTCACTTCCCTACCCTCTACAGTCCCACCTGTAACTGTCCCAAATCATCTACTTACCCTCGCATCCATGGGCAAAGTCAGCTTCTGGGGACACCCTGCTAAAATGTTTTGGGGAACCCGCCTGGAAGGCTGCGAAGGGCATAGAGTCCCCAGTCAGTTACTGATCCTGGTCTCCCTTTGTCCTCACAGGGTGTCCGACAAGCTGAAGCAGATCCCCCAGTCCCTGGCAGATGCCAACAGCACTGACCCAGCCTTGGTCTTGGCCGAGAATGCATCCCTCTTGTCCCTGAGTGAGCTTGATTCAGACTTCACGCAGCTGCAGAGCCGCCTGCGAAACGTCAGCCTGCAGCTGGGCTTGCAGCCAGCAGAGGAGGCCGAGGGGGAGGAGGCCGCGGGGGAGGGGGCGGGGGCGCAGCGTCCAGGCCCCGCGGAGGCCGGCCCCCGGCGCCACGTGCTGCTCATGGCCACCACCCGCACAGGCTCCTCTTTCGTGGGCGAGTTCTTCAACCAGCAGGGCAATATCTTCTACCTCTTTGAGCCGCTGTGGCACATCGAGCGCACGGTGACCTTCCCGCCGGGAGGCGCCAACGCGGCGGGCTCGGCCCTGGTCTACCGCGACGTGCTCAAGCAGCTCTTCCTGTGCGACCTGTACGTGCTGGAGCATTTCATCAGCCCCCTGCCCGAGGACCACCTGACCCCGTTCATGTTCCGCCGCGGCTCCAGCCGCTCGCTCTGCGAGGACCCGGTGTGCACGCCCTTCGTCAAGAAGGTCTTCGAGAAGTACCACTGCAAGAACCGCCGCTGCGGCCCCCTCAACGTGACGCTGGCCGCCGAGGCCTGCCGCCGCAAGGAGCACATGGCCCTCAAGGCCGTCCGCATCCGGCAGCTGGAGTTCCTGCAGCCGCTGGCCGAGGACCCCCGGCTGGACCTGCGCGTCATCCAGCTGGTGCGCGACCCCCGCGCCGTGCTGGCCTCGCGCATGGTGGCCTTCGCCGGCAAGTACGAGACCTGGAACAAGTGGCTGGCGGAGGGACAGGACCCGCTGCGAGCCGAGGAGGTGCAGCGGCTGAGGGGCAACTGCGAGAGCATCCGCCTGTCGGCGGAGCTGGGCCTGCGGCAGCCAGCCTGGCTGCGGGGCCGCTACATGCTGGTGCGCTACGAGGACGTGGCCCGCAGGCCCCTGCACAAGGCGCGGGAGATGTACCGCTTTGCGGGCATCCCCCTGACCCCGCAGGTGGAGGACTGGATCCAGAAGAACACCCAGGCGCCCCGGGACAGCAGCGGCATCTACTCCACGCAGAAGAACTCCTCGGAGCAGTTCGAGAAGTGGCGCTTCAGCATGCCCTTCAAGCTGGCGCAGGTGGTGCAGGACGCCTGCGGCCCCGCCATGCAACTCTTTGGCTACAAATTGGCGCAGGATGCCGCCTCCCTCACCAACCGCTCAGTCAGCCTGCTGGAGGAGCGGGGCATCTTCTGGGTCACGTAGGGGGCCTGGGGCCATGTGCACCCCTCGTGAAAGCCCCGCCCTGCCTTCCTCACACCCAAGCCAGCTGTGAGCCAGTGGCGCTCGCAGAGGATGGCGGGAAGCCGGGCAGTGAGCAGGCTGCCCCTCTGCTGTAGAAGTAGCCCCCAGCCAGCTAGCTTCCCCACCGCAGCGGTGGGCTGGGGTTTGTGGCTGAGAACAGAACAGCGTCCTGCCCCTTGTGGGCCATCAAACCCAGACCTAAGGGCAGGTCCGGCAGGCCCCGGCCTAATGACAGCCTTTCTCTCTCTCTCTCTCTCTCTCTCTCTCTCTCTCTCTCTCTCTCTCTCTGAAACATACATGAAGTACATATAAATGCCTATAGACCCTGTGGGCCAGAGTCCAAATATTTAACACCCAAAGGGGCTGTGGGCACTGACCACAGTCTGGATTTCTACACAATCCAGTGTGGATTCTGGGGGAGTCCCCAGGGAGGGACTGGGCCTATCTTGGGTGTCAGAGGATGGCAGTTGAGGCTTACAATTTAATGTTTTCATAAATGGGATAGCTATGCTGGTTACTGATGGAATCAGCTCTGTGAACAGCTACAAAACACACGCACGTGTAAAGACAAATACCCACCCGCACACCACACACACTGGAAAATATAAGAACACAACTCCACATACACGCATACATAAGCGACAAGCTTTCCCATTGCTCTATGCCCACAGGCTCTATGGGCTTCATCTGTATCACACACCTAAGGAGGAGCCTTTAATTATTTGGGGGCAGGGGAAGGAAACATGTCATGGACCGTGGCCTTGCTTCCCAACCACCTTTGGGATGAACAGTGGACACAGAACTGCCCAGCCCTCGGCCCCGGCCTACCGTGGAGCCTCGGGCCACCTCCTTTGCCCCGTCCCATCCTCGCTGCTGGCAGGCAGGATGTTTGGAAATGGCGCGGTTGACCCTCACGTGACTGCAGCCCAAAGTCCCCATCCCTCCCAGCTTGACTGGTGTCCTGGAGCCTGTCCATATTGAAGACTGCCTCAGGCCTGACTGGCAGAAGAGTAGGCACTGGAAGCAAAAGGCAACTCATGGCCCTGGCCCGTTTGGCTCAGCGGTTAGAGCATCAGCCTGCGGTCCACAGAGACCCGGGTTCAGTTCCCGCTAAGGGCATGTACCTTGGCTGCAGTTTGTCCCCGGCCCTGGTTGGGTCGTGTGGGTGGCGGCCACTCGATGTGTCCCTTTCACATCGATATTTCTCTCTCTTCCTCTCTCTCCTTCCCGCTCTATCTGAGTAAAAAATGGAAAAATGTCCTCGGGTGAGGATAAAAAAAAAAAAAAAAAAGGCAACTCATGGGTCCTGCCCCTTGCGGCCAGGCCTGTGTGGTACAGGGCCCCAGTGACAGTTCATAGTGCTCGTGGGGAGAAGTCACATTGGGAGAGCCCCTCCCCTGAGGAGACATGGGACAGAGGCCAGCCTCCTAGTTGGTTGCCATGGTTACATGGTTGGGGTCTGGAATTCCTCCTTTAGGGCTCTGGGAAGAGGATTGCTTAACTGGGGATGGACTGGGTATTTGTTTTCTGGGTTTTTTGTGGGGATTTTTAAAGGGTATTTATGGTTTGGTGTCTTGTTTTGCGGCTGTGTTTTTGTTTTTGTTTCTGCAGAAGTGCCTCTGGGAAGCAGTCTGTGCTTGAGGGGCCTGGGCGGGCCAGTGGGAAGCACTCTGGCTCCTGCTGGAGGGAGAGGAGGAGGAGGAGGAAGAGCCTCCCCCCAGGATTAGAGTTTAGGTGTCCCTAGTGCCCCATGGCCTTTTCTATTTCAACATATGTGAGGTGAATCTCAGAAACCACCAGCATTTTTCTTATTTTTATTTTTTGGGTTAATCCTCACCCAAGGATACTTTTCCATTGATTTTTAGATAGAGTAGAAGAGAGAGAGGGAGGGAGGTGTAAAGAGAGAGGGAGAGAAACGTCGATGTGAGAGAAACACATTAATTGGTTGCCTCCCATGCAACCCCAACCAGGGCCAGGGATTAAATCTGAAACCCAGGTACATGCCCTTGACCAAGAATCAAACCTGCTGCCCTTTGTTCCTTGGGCCGACCCTCTAACCGCTGAGCCAAACCAGACAGGGCCCACCAGCAATTTTTGCTGCATGTCCAGCAGCAGCATAAATTAGCAGCCCTCAACTCCACCCTGAGAAGAGGCCAGATTTAAACACATCTCCCAGGCCCAATCACACTTCCAGGAGGTCAGGGCCTATGACCGAGCAGCAGATGTCCCCAAAGTGGAAGCCTTTCCCTATTTCTATCCCAACCTGGGGAGCAAAACTCAGCACCATCTCCGAACTTGCAGGAAGCTGTAACCGTTCCGTAAGGGCTGTGTCTGATTTCCTGGACAACCTCTCTGTCAGATCTGTCCCATTGTCAAACCCAGAGGGCTGCGTAATATGGACATGAGGGAAATACAGGAGCTGAGTCCAGCCGGTGTTGCTGTGGGGAAGGAAGGGGTGTGTTCTGGCTAGAAGCTGCCTTTAGAAAAGGTGAAGATGGTAGCCATCTTATGGGGTCCCTAATAACCACCGTATCTGAGCTACTGAGCATGCATCAGCGTGGACTTCAGCCGTTCAAGGAGGTCTCCGCTCTAGGTTTTCCAGTCCAAGAATAAGTTGTGCAGGGAGCTGGCTCTAACTTGGGGTCCAAAGGGACTCCAACTTAGAAAACTTGACCCTGGGACAGAGTGGCGCCAGGATTTTTCTGGCAGGCCCAGAAGTCCTGTCCTGCTCCCTGCGCTGTCCCCTACCTGGGGCCGCTGGGGCAGGCTCCTCTTTCGAGGGTTCTTCCCGGGCCCTCCTAGTGTGGACAGCAGACTTCTTCCTTCTTTTTTATGTCCTGAGCTCTGAGGACTGTACCAAGAGTGGACCTTTGGGACTTCTCAGGACATCAAGAATTTGTACACTGCAAGTTGACTTAATTTATTTATTATGTGAAAAAGAGACAGAAAGTACCTTCTTATGTGCAGGGACTCAAAGCTGTACCCAAATTAAGAAAGACAAACTACTAATAATAGCAACTATTCATTCATCCACACACAAGGACACTCCAAGACTATTCGGAATGCAAGAGGCGACTAAACCAGGGCTGCAGGAGCTATGACGGACCCACACCTTTGTTAAGGAGATTCTTTGGTTTACTCTTGTTGCTTTGAAGATGCAGCGATAAGGCCCTCTGCTGCATGACCTTTGCCCAGGTGTCTGAAACAGGACACAAGCGAGTGTTCCCCAGGCTCTGGGAACGGGGGGGTTGGGGAAGGACAGGGTGGAAGTGATTGCTGCCTTTACACTCCGTGGGACCTGGTTGGAGTCATGCCTTCGGGGTTCTCGGCATGGGACTTTGTCGGGGAAGGTGGTCCAGCCGGAGGCCAGTGCCTTCCTGTCCTGGCTCCTCCGTTCCTGCTGATCCACCAGGAGCCTCCGCTGCACAGCAACCCACCCCGCCCCCGACACCTTTAGACAGAGGGAGCAGTGAGGCGTTACTCGCAGCTACCAGCTTCCCCAGAACAAGAGGCCCATTCAGCAGTGAGCAGTTACTCATTTTTTTCTTCTTGAAGAAGATCTTTAGCCTGGCCTATATAAATAGTTCCGAACATTCCAGGCCTTGGTGAGACAGGGCAGTGCCTAACACCCGCAAGCCGCCACCACCACTGCCCGTTCCTGGCTTCTCCTCTGGACCTTGTCTGTAAACCCTGGAGTGGATGAGGGCAGGATCCCTGCTCCCGTGGACGGCAGCTCTGTCACCCCCCTGCCATTATCACCAAGTCATTGCTAAGATGGAGAGACAGGACTACATTCTAGCCTTTGTCCCTTTATGTGATGCACACACTTGAAAAGAAATAACTGAATGAACAGAAACAAGTATTTAATGAGGAGTCAGCTCCCTATCTGCCAGCACCCTCAGCCAGGCTGGTCAATGGGGCAGCTGCTGACCAAACCTCCAAGAGCAGAAGACACCCACTCAGCCATTACTCTAGATCTTTCCCTGCCACCTCTGCCATCTGTCCAGTGATGGAACAAGTTTCAGAAGCAGGTCGGGGGATCCCAGACGCAGAAGATGGATGCTTGGCCTAGACAGCAGACAGGACATGTAAGCATCGGGTGGTTCTGACCCTGACGGTCTCTTCCAGCCCTGGGCGGTCCTCTCCCACACTAGCGTCTGTTTTAACTGACTGTAGGGCCTGTCCCCTGATAGGCCCTGGATGATGAAGAACAGGAGCAGAAGGTCCCCAAGGCAGTCCCCTCCCACTCCACTCCCCAAAGGCTGAAAGAAAAGCAGGTCTCAGAGGATGGATCCCTGAGTCAGGAGAGCTAGCGGGGAGGGTGGGGAACAGGTGCAGCAAAGGCCGGCTGGGGCTTGTCGGTCTGTACAAAGGAGCATCTACTGCAATCCAGGGGCCTCAGGCCGAGTTTGCTGGTGAAGATTTCTAGGACAGGTCCAGCTGGACAGGAGAGAGAAGGCCCAGGGCTTCCTGACCGTGGCCACATCGCCTCTCAACTGCTCTGGTTTCAGGAACAATCGAAGCTGCTCTTTACCTCAAAGGATGAAGCAGAACTGGCAACTTCAGATGTCTTAAGAGCTTCAAGATCTTTTGATCTTGTGACCTTTGTCATTCCATGACTGTGCCCTGGGAGGCTAATCTGTCGCGTGTTTCCAAGGATATAGACAGTGCCATCTGCATGAGCCAAGCTCATGTAGATCAGGTATTTTATTGGGGAAATAAAATGACCCATGTACCCTGCTTCCTGTAACACTGGGCTTGACCTGGGCACCCCCCGAAGTCTCCATCTCATCTGTAAGTTCTAGGCCAAGGCTGCATGTCTCCCCCATTCCCTCCTGCATCCTGCAAACCCTCTGTTTTGTTGCCAACTCCTCTCCCTGTGTCGCGTTTCATGGCCACATGGTACAGGACACTCCCTTCATGGCCATGTGTGGCCATGGTATGTACATATGTGTCCATACACGTGTGTGTAACATGCAGCTCATTCTGCTTGGCAACATTGCTCCCAGCCCCCGCGCCATCAGTGTCCCGGATGTCCTCGCTGTGCCTACCATCTGCAGTCTCCTGGAAACGCAGGAGCTACCCTTCAGAGAGCTGGCAGCCACACCGGTCAGGGTCTGCTTTGTGGAACAGAATGTGAACCCATCACTCGATGGCTTACTTGATTTATTTAATTAAAAAGGAAATCATGCAATGAGCAAAATCACAAGTGTCTCTGCCTTTCTTTTGCATTTGTTCCTAGCCGCAATGATAAAAATTAACAGGAAAAACATTACCA